TAAGAACTGGAGCTGAGCTCTGGCGCGCTTGGACGAGAAATGTGTAAAATATTGTTCTTATAGTTTGCTCAAAACTACATGATGACAGGTCGAGTGTGTTTTTAAAGAAACAAATTGAGTCGAACTTTCGGATTCATTGGTGTGTGACAGCAATTAAATAAGTTACCCTTCTTCTTCTAAAGCGTTATTAATACCATTTCAAAACATTTTTTGATCGAGAAGTCGAAAAGAATTCTTTATGCATGCTTTTTTTTTTGAAAACAAATACTTTTGCCGATGACATCGTAGACAGCAAACACTCTAAATTCGATCAAACTTGGGTAGTCAGCAAATTCCTGTCCCAACCAATGCACGATCATCGCAAAACATTTTACCACAACAGACTAAATTACACGAGGATGTTAAATACAAATAGAAGTTCGAAAGTCGCCGTAATTAGTTCTCGTCATCCCAAACCTTGGCAGGAACGAGTTGAAGCTAGCGGTGTTCGTTAGCGGAAGTGACATTAAATGCTAATTATGGATGATCCAAAACAAGAAAAAAGTGCGAGTTTTTCTGACCCCTCTTTGCCACATTATCTGTGAAAGAATTTCAAAAACATTGACTGAATCGTGTGAATTCATTCTTTACGTAAACACTGGCTGAAGATGGGATATCGTGTCGGTGTGAGCATTTTACTGAGCGCTGTGTGTGTGTTGTATGATCGCACCGTCCTTTGGTTGCGGTGAAACATACAAAGTGATAAACCTCGACTGCGACCCAAGCAAGGCCAGGCAGATGAAGTTTTCTGCCTGAAAAATATTTGTATGCGATGGTAAAGAGTGAAAGGCCTTGCAATACAAAGAATCCTTCCTGGGCTCCAGGAAATACTCAGGTTCTTCATGCAAAAAAAGTAAGACTGACTCGAGAAACGCAGCCAATGGAATTTATTGGATCGCTATGGGTGGTAGGTTATCCAGAATTACGCATTATTCGTATAATTTCTTCGTAACAGTGACTAGCTTAAACAATGGCGCGTATTATTTCCATCACGCTGTACTACTAGTTTTCCCAGAACTAAGAACAAGTTTTTCACAGTAAAAAAGGTGGAAAATTTGAAGCTCTGCTTTTGATTAAAGAAAGACGTTAATCATTCGTTCTGCCAACAGCGTAAACAAATCGAAAATCACGATACCGGATAAATTTATGGTAACTCGATCAATTTTATGTCTCGCAAATCTATTAAACCATGATCCTGAAATCTCGTCAGACTTCATCTTTTGGTTAAATTTTTCATGAAGGACCACAATTCTATCTTCCCCTTTTTATCAACAGACTTCAAAAAGGTTTTCGATGCTGTAAGTGGAGTCGATAAGAGGGTGTACCCTACCTACTGACCTCGCGTCAAACATCTGAGAAAAACATGGCTGCACTTGACGTCACGAACAAGTACAAGGATCAGTAGAAGAACAGAATAGTTTTGAAATGTAGTGACTTTGGGGCTCTTGAACATGAAAAGGAAAAGTAAATGTGAATTTCATTACTGTCAAACGTTTGATTATTCAAAATCATAAATTCTATTATGCATTCGAATTTGGCTTCGGGCTAAAAGCAATTTTGATCATCACTCTAGGCGGGAAGCGTCAAGTGGGTCAGAAATGGTCACCATAGAAACGCTCGCTTATCACGTGGAATAAAATTACGACATTTGAAGCGAATGAAGGTCCGTTATGTCATTTTTACGAACTTATCCATTCCTTGACTTCCTGTTGCCAAACTGGTTTAAAGAAAAGAACTTTTCTTTTATCTTCTTTTCTTTCAGGCGTGAGTTGTACTCTATACAGGTGGACAGCTAGTCAAGGAAGTGAAGTTCAATGCACAGGGAACAAACAACTTGAACTGGTTCTCGGCCAGCAAACTCACCTGACAGCTCTTGGAAAGACATGAAATCTCAGCCAAAGAACATCGTTTCTATTCCCGGGAGGCACAATCGCAACTTCTTCATCAACAGGAACTATGGCGGCTGTTCCAGAGATGCCGGATGGATGGGAATCACTTCCTGTTACCGCAAATGGGAGACACGTTTCCTTCCTCGCAAAAACGTCATTCTGTACAGCAAATTTTCAGGATACACGAACTGGAACCAATACAGTAAGTATATCATGGAAGGGGTGTTGGCCATGGTATAAATCTGCGGGAGGTGCTGAAAGAGTTTGAAAGAAATCTCTCTCCCCCCGAGTCTCCCCTCCCTTAAACTTGTCTCTTTTACGCCTATGACACACCAAATGAAAGTAATTTCTGGTTCTTAAGTAGAGAGTAATACATGGGCACGTGCACATATCAGGGAATTTCTCTTCTCCTGTTTGACTCAAAACATCGCGAGTGAGCGCAGCTGGCGAGTGAGATATCGACTTAAACACGAGAAGAGAAACCTCATGTCTATTGTTCTCTTTATCATATAAACACTATTGACCATAATTTTTGGAAAATTTCGAAAAAATACCTTGGACTTACAATATTGTACAGCAATAGTGAACGCTTTGTCAGTCATTCATCAACGAGTGACGCGTCAGCAGCTGCTGATCGGCGATATCAAACACATGTATATTATAATTGCGCAGTTACGGCTTTTCTCAGGGGTGGAAATCCTTGTAAAACAGTCCAGTTTATGTTATAAATATTTTAACATTTCTTACCCTTATCGAGGTAAGGTGCTATGTATTCATAGAATTTCCTTCCCTCAACACTTTTAAAAGGTTTATACGTTTTTTGACTGACTGCTTTATTACCGCTGCAGACAACGTTGGAGTTGGGGATGTGTTGGTGGTTTACCTGCGTTCAGGTATTTATTTTGATTTTGCGTAACATGTACATTCCTGCAAAATGAAAACAAACAAACAAACAAAAAAAACATGTGTTGCAGAGAGTTTTACAACGCACTTCGTAGCTTTGTGAAATGTCGTCTAGAGGACACAAAAGGCATTTTGGTTGCATTCTGCTTTGTCACTAACAAATTTGATCGTTTTGACCTGATGAGTAAACTTCACAAAAACTAAACCGTTACAAAAATAGTGAATCATCTTTCGTCGCTTTGAATAGTTTTGAGTGTGAAGAAAGAATTTATTTTTGAAGCTTTTCTTTTTTTCAACTACATCTTGTGTTAATAAAAGAAATATCATTTAATATGAAAATTCATGATAAAGAACTCACCGCTTTTCAGAAAAAGATTATCTGTAAATCTGTACTTGGCGACAATGTAACAGGCGTTTCTTTTATTTTGGATGGACGAGGAACACTGGACACGATAATGAGCTATATCCTAGTCCTATTCGCCCCCTCGGCCTCTGAGAAGGAAAAAAAAAAAAAAACAGCCACGTCTGCTCCACCTGGTCAAACGCACCAGAGTGTCGATGATGAGGCAGGTTCGAAACAAACTAAAACTACATCCATGCAAGTTTCCATAGAGATATGGAAACACAATTCGAGGGTATAATGAATATTATTAAAAACTAGATCATTGGATAATCAAAGAATTCAAGACTTTTTATTGGCTTAGCCATTATGATGTATCAGCCAATATACCATAATCTACAAATATGGTAAGCATACTTGGCAGCTTAAAATTAAAAGGGAGCTAAAAATTTAAAAAAATTTAATAATTTAATTCAACGTTTTTAATGAAACAATTATTTCACTCGCACTTGTTGCATATGTGATGATTATAGCCAACTCGGCGCTACGCGCCCCGTTGGCTATCTATCATCTCATATCCAACAAGCGCGAGTGGAATAATTGTAAATGAACATCTAATATGGAGGTCACTGAATATGAATTCTTTCTGATTAAATTTCTAGGTATACGCTCAGCTCGTGCAGACTCAGTAAGGACTGACCAGAAGCTGTAGATTACTGCAAGATTCCCTCGCTGTAGATTCCCTCGCTGTAGATTCCCTCGCTGTAGATTTCCTCG